TGCAGCTGTGTAAATATGCCAGAACAACTCCATCAGACAGGGCACGTAGGTCAGTCATGCAGCAGACGGTGACTCTCTAAGGATTACAGCGAGACCAAACTTCCACAGGAATATTGAGTTTCCCGAAAGTGCACGTAAACACTTAAATGGAAACACATGTCAGAAAGTAAGAAGAGGATCACATTTTACAAAGAAAGTGTTTTTGCAACATTTTGTAATAGTTTTCTTTTCTGGTTTTATATATCACACCGTGTAGCAGAAATAAATCCTTACTGGCTGGCTGTTTATTCTCATGTGGGTCAGGAGTGCACTTCATCAGGATTTATTAAAGCATAGCCCCGCCTGGTACTGGGCTTTGTAATGAAATTTCAAACCTGACCTTTGGCCTTGACCTATTTGTTAGTAACCTAATTTCTTTCTTCTTCTTTTTTCTCTTTTACCTCTTTTCCTTTTCCAGGAGCCCTCTGATAAAGTTCTTGGCCAGCTCACTGGTACTGCTGAAGAACTCTTCATCAAATTCGTAGTTCACCGCTGAGATGTTTGCTAAAGTTTCCTGCTTTGTGTCACCGAGGAAAGGTGACGCGCCGCTCAAACTGAAACAACAGCACAAACATTTGCATGCGTAACTCAGTCGATAATCGTAGATACGTTAAAATTCCCGTACGTTGTGAATCTCAACTTACAGTATATATGTGATGACTCCGATGCTCCTGCGAAAAAAGGCGCAAGATTAATCCAAAGTTATGCGCTGCAACCTGTTGTGCAGATGTCAGCAGAGTCAGAGGTAATTAAAAGCTCTTACCACATGTCTGCTTCCAAGCCCAGTTGCTCATAGTTGACTATCTCTGGAGCTGAAAATAGACAACACACACTCAACATCACAAACAGCGTCTGGCCAAACATCAAGCATCTCATTAAAATCGTCAAGCTCAATAAAAAAAAAAAAAGAAAAGAAAGAAAAACTTACCAACAAATTCAGGGGTGCCAAAAATGTTTTTGAAATCCGTCCCATCTTGTATTTTGTGTGCTAGTCCAAAGTCTATTATTTTGATGCGGGGTAAGGTGGCATCCCTGTCCAGCAGCATTATGTTTTCAGGCTGCAGCAATGCAAATAAAGAAACAAAGCATGTATGTCAGCAGATTTCCACTAATAGCAGGGCTCAGTAATACAGACAAAACCAGCTAGTTACCTGGAGAAATCCTCCTTTTGTGAAAGCATTAGAGAAAAACAATTAATCAAGCTAATTAGTGCAAAGGTGTGACAGTGTGAACTGAAAATCAAGGCTTCAGGCATGAATGACTCAAGCACCTAGTGCGTTGTTATTTTGCGTACCTAATCCACCTTCAGTTATCAACGCAAAAGCATCAGCAGTGAAGAGGACTCACAACGAGCCATTCTTACATTTCTACTGTTATATGCTCACCAGATTCATATGGGGCATAAAGGGAACAACAACAACAAAGGAACACTATCACCCAGTTCTGTATTCAATTAGTAAGATGTGGCCTCTTGTGAAAACTTGTCAAAGGGGCTCCCTGTTTCCCAGCGCTGCCCTTTGGCTCTGTGCAATATAATAGGCCTGCAAATCAAGAACCATTCACATTGACTTTGAAGGGTTATGGTGCTGGGGTTGGGTTGTGTTTATTTAGCTGTTCTGAAGCTTTATTTTAATCAAAAAGGGGGATAAGAATTTCCCAAGTAAAATTCCAAGTCAAAATGGGGTTAAACAGGAGGGTTAATGGGTGTTATAGCTGACTGATCTGATGAAAATAGACCTTGGGAACGTAGATGCACAGCTAGAAAAAAAATCAGACAGGATAGCGACTTTCAGATAGAGACGTGGGCGATACAGCTCTGAAACTAAAGAGATAACCTTGAGGTGTCGGTATCTGAGAGTTTGGATGGTGGCCACATAAAACAGGAAGGATGTGTCAATCAGAATAGCAGAACTGTGCAGTACGTACATTAAACACCTGCTATATAGATAGATAGATAGATACATATACATAAGGTCTTTATGGCATTGCTTGTGCGTAGTAATACAGTTGCTATGGAGGTAAAGAGTTTAACTGTTTCACAGAAAACAAATGCAGTTTAAGATGCGCAGCACAGGAGAAGCACGTTTACCTTTAGATCAAAATGTGCAATCTTCTTGGAGTGGAGGAACTGCACTCCATGTAGGACCTGCTTGATAAACTGAGTGGCCTCCTCCTCACTGAGGCTCTCCTTTTGAGCTAAGAAGTCAAACAGCTCTCCTCCAGAAACCCTGCAAGACGCACAAACACACACAAACTGACACTGACTGTGGGCTCTGACAATCTAGAGCAAGCCCTCGCTAGCACTTTTATCTAAAGTGTGTTCTCAGGAAATTGGATGCACAAGCCTGGATGCCTGAGATATGTTTGTCTGTGGTGCCAACTTGCGTCTGTTTTTAGTCCATTTGCCCTACTTATGGGCAAATGTATTTTTCCATAAACATAACTGAAAAAATGGTATGAAACCTTGGCCCATAAGCACAATGTTCTCTACCATTCATACAGAAAAAATGAGAATGAAGGACAGTGCGTCATTCTGCAGCCATCAGTCATATTTTTTTGTTTGAGTTTTTCAATTAGTCCTAATCAGGCCTGCCATGTTTCTCGGCACTCAGTGACCCCAGACGGGGGCCCTTTTTGGCCTCTTTTCAGCACAAGCATTATTGACTTTGCAAGCGACATTTGGTACTTTCTGGCAGACGTGATCAGGGGCAAATGGTTTTCAGCAAACACAGCTTCAACAAACAGAAATACCCTCACAGATGAGTGGACTTTTGCAGTTTTACAGTATTCCTGCCAAACATTCAAAAGACTGCACTGACATAACTTTTCAATCCCAATAAAACACATTTTATGTTATGCAGGCTCTTATCTATTGTACATAGATGTTTGGAGTTTTCAAGAAGTAAAGCATGATAAAACGTTATTGTTGTGAGTGTGTGGATATTGCAATGCATTGCAGAATCTTGCGGTGACTCACAGTTCGAGGATAAGCACAACATCTGTGCGGTTCTCATAAACATCGTGGAGCGCTACAATGTTGGGATGCTGGAGCTGCTGCAGGATGTCCACTTCCCTCGCAATCTCCTCTCTTTTCACACCCCGTCTGCTGGCCCCGCTCAGGCGCTTCTTGATGAACTTGGCCGCGTACTTATTGCCTGTGCTCTTCTCTATGCATCGCTTGACAATCGCAAACTGCCCACTGCAGACAAAAGAGAAGCAATCACCACAAAAGGTGCCAAGAGAGCATACAGAGCACGGGAAAAGCAGTAACATCCTGCATCTTGGTGGAGGATGTGATCTCTGAACACTCTTCTTGTTACACCCATTATCATTCAACGTGACAACTGATTTACGTGCATCAGGATTTGTAGTATCTACCATCTTTTTGTTTTTTTAAATGAATAGAACTAATAACATTTTTTGCATTTAGCCACAGGATATTGGTGAGGAAGCTGTGGTACACAGATGACTGACAAATTGTGGTATGGTCCATCACTTCCTGTTTCCTGGCGAGACAATGAGATGATCTGGTGGTGCTGAGAGAGCCTCTGCCCTCCTACTCCTTTTAACTTCCTGCCACGTTTAGTGGAGCAAGCTCAAGTGTTTACTCCACTGAAAGAAAAGCAAACACAATAGAGGTGTGTGTCTTTGACAATATTGTTCAGTGAATCATTGCGTTCTTGTTTTGAACGTTAGATAGACGTGATAGTCAGACATGAGCTTACGACATCTTTAATGGCATCTTATTATTAATGAGCTTCAGTACTGACTCCAGCTGGTGGAATATATTCCTTTGTTTTCACTCATCCCTAACATAAATCATAACACTCATAACTTGCCTACTGACAGATTGAACAAGAAATATGAGACCATTTTCCATATGAGGGGAATTTCTGTGGCTTTAATATCAGACCAGCACTTGAGTAAGCTTGCTGTCATACTACTGCTGCTTTGTTGTTTCCTGGTGCTGGGGGATGACCTGCCCACCCTATTGTGAACACAAGCTTCTCATCCTTCTGCGTGATGCCACAACGACATACAAGGGCTTATGTGGTGACAGAGCTGGCAAGAGTTTTACTGAATAGGAGGGAATGGTTGGGTAAAACACATTAAAGCTTGAGGACTGAAGAATTTTCATGTTTGAAGCACAGACACATTGTGACACTGTGGAGGGAAAAATTCCCAAAGAGGGGGAAAGACAATAATTGGCAGGCATTTCATGAATTTTGGACATAACTGTCCACACAGAAATTCCAGAGTGGCTGTGAGAGGCTGTCCAATCTGTGTCTAGAGGGCTAAGAATAGCCAGACTTAAACAGAGTCTTGCTTTACCTGCCACATTTCTTCTGCTGTTGGTGAGTGAGAGCCCCCGCTTGAACGGCAGGAGTGGAAAAGAAAGAAGGGCAGAAAGGAGGTGTGCAAGGAAGAGCTGTACACCCACAACACACTACAGTTCACACTTGTATTTTCAGGGTGTTTACAATGTGCACCCAGAAACAAATTAAGGGATTAAATACTATCTTTGTGGTTTTAAACCAGCTACTGACTCTGTAACCATACATCGGTGCGAGATGGTTGAGCCAGTTTTCACGTTTTTGTGGCACACCCTGTCCGGTGCTCTGTGATCACACCTAGGAGCTGTTACATTGACTATGCTAAGCCTCTTATGAAACATGCTCAAAAATAACGATATAAAACTATATAACTAACTAAATGCGGGACTACATAAACCCAGAATTTCAATTACAACCTCAATGAAGAGATTAAATCTAAAACCTTTAAACAAATATGACGCAGTCTGATACAGCAGCACTTCAACAAAAAAACTGAACATCTCTGATACACAAGGGGAAAAAAAAACAAGCGTATGAGTTTCTTTAAAGTGCTGCAGTGCTTGATGCAAGGAGATTTGCACTGAACTACATGTGGTTGTTTCACCTGTGCGTCTAATAAGACAAGGGAATCTTTAACTTTAGATTGATTTGATGTATTTCCTATAGCTTTCAGGTTCTGGACACATTAAAAGCCTAAAGCCCTTGAAGTTATTATTGAGATTATTTAATTCATGTGTGAACATGTCCCAGCAGAGACTGCAGGGAGAAAAAAAGAGAGAGTGGGGAAACATACGTTAAGGCAATAATCCACAAAGAATCCCACGCACATTCCTTAAAAGGAAAATAAAAAGAGAGCGGGTGGAGTGATAAAGCACAGCTTCGTGGAATCTCAAATCCTCCCTCTGCCTGATCTATTCACAGGACGTCTCCACCCTCGAGTCCTCCCTGTTATGATAATGTGTTAACTGAAGAGGTGGGGAAGTCACTCAGTGAATTCCACTTGCAAAAACATCCATCAATTACCCCAAGGGGAGGAACTGATCCGTCACTGGGGCATGAGCAGTCCCCTTGATTTGCCTGATAACTAATGGCAAATAGAAAAAGCCCTTGAGATGATAGTTGTAGTTCACGTGTGAAAAAGCACCCAACACAAATGTCAGCAGAGGGGCTTTACTCCAGCATTGTTACGAAGTGCAGAGTAACAGCGGAAAGAGATGCTGGGGGGGTGGTATTCCACAAAAGGTCAGGCGTGCCGTCTGTCTCAGCCCTAAGCCGACCAGCGGTCTGAAAGTGCCATCTCTCCGCAGAATTTCCACTTCCAACAGCTGAAGGTCATTAGCCACAGCCAAGGTTGAAGGAATGCTCCGACAAGTGGCGCCAACCCAATATTTAAACATGTTTCTCAACTGAGCAACCACCAGGATGACGAAGAGTGCCAGCTTCGCTGTTGACCCAGAAAGCTGTTCCTAACCAGGCGACTAATCAAATGCCATTGAGGGCTGCAGGGACGCAGCTCCAACTTTTAAAATTCTACCGGTGCTTGAAAACCCAATTTGTCGGCCACATTTTCTGCTTTTTATGCTGTAAGTGAAATCTTTCCGCATTTAAGCCCTAAAGTAATCTCTAGATTCCCACTGGTATTTAAGTCCAGCCACACACGCACACGCACACACTGGCATCTGTGAGGCATTAGCGTTGTTTGTAATGGGACAATTTCTGTCAGTATTGGAACTCTGGGGGATGTCCAAAAGGTCAACATGGAGGTCCTTCAGTTAGGCTGCAGCAAATAAACTCCCTTCTCTCTTTATTTCCCCAACTTACACAACAGCAGAGATGTCTCAGAGCTATAGAGAGTAATTCTAGTACTTTTTGGTAATCTGAAACAGCTGTGTGCCTGCCCTGTGGGCTCTTTTCACTTCAACGCATTTATTGTTCGAGCACCGCAACCTAAAATTTGCATCACTGCCCTCTGGATATTCCATAAAGAAAACTTGTAAAATGGTTAGTCCGAATCATTTTCTCCTAAATGAACCCACATAGATACTGGAAAAATATTTTGCATATCAGGAAGATGCTCCTGCAGTGTTTACAGATTCGAGAGCAAAAACTCTGTGAACCTGTGTCAATGGACAGATGAGTTTTCATCTCGATGTCAACTTAAGCAGTGACAAACATGCTGCTGTGCTGCAGGAATCTTTCCTTCCTGTCAGTATAACTAATGTTTAAATATCCATCTCACCGTCAAGACAGAGTATAGGTGTCTTGTGAGTTTCTGCGGGTATTTTGTAAGAAGCCACACATTAACAAACCAGATTCAATTTAAGGCATCGTCAGAGTCATACAGTTCACCCTGGGATCACGTCACTCGCTGTACCTTTCATACATAGCAATAAAGACACGGTGGTGCTAGACGAAAAGTCAAGGGATTACCATTAGAAGTCAACATGAAAGCATTCACGAAGTCAGAGTGAAACCATGGTGTAAAGTAAATTCAGCATTCAAATTTTGGGGTAGTTTCTTCACACTGACTCACTACGCACTACTTATCTACTAAAAGCTATCAGTTGTTATGAGCCAACAAGGACACAAGCTCACTTGTAAACAGGGTCCAGCATCTCAGATGAAGACCTTTTTCTCAGCCTTACCTTGATGCTCAGTTACAGCTCACCGCTTCCTGTTAAAGGCATCTTTTGGTTCAGACTTTTACACTTTGTACTGTATGATGTCATAAGTGTCATCAGTCGAATGGAAAGAAAGGTACACTTGTCACAGCATGCCCCGCATGTCAAAGGGCTGACAGGTTTACCCAAAACTCTGCGTCATTAGTGGAAACAGCCACTCAGTACTGCTCTTCGGAGCTGTGAGACATTAAAACCTGTCAACATGATTAATTCAATTTCCAGAAATGGTGCAACAGTACCACAGCACAGGGCATCTCAAATACGTCACACAGTTTTTGCCTCCCTCCGCCAAATTTCCCCACCCTCTTAAAGGACAATTGAGTAACAGTTCCACTGAGGTATGTGAGTGGAGGGCTCTGAACCAGTGAGGCTGTCAAAACTGTGGGTGGGCTAAAACACGTCCCCCGAGGCTCACAAAACTGTGAGTGAAAAGTCTTTTGCAGAAAGATAAAAATGTAACAGGTTTGGTTACTCAGAAAGCTAACCAGGGCTTTTAACCACAGCAGCTTAAAGGGTCACATATTTTCGACATGCTGATGTTAAACATGCACTCAGCCCACAGCAGAGTCCCCTTTGCTTTTCAGGTTTTCTCATGAAAACCAGCTCAGCTTTGAGCAACACATTCCCACGTGTGCCATGTCTTGCAGGGGTTTAAAGGGTATTTCAGCTTTTTTTTTTTAATATAAGTTTTTAAAAGTCTTTTGAAGCAATTTCCAACTTGCAACGTATGGCTTGATGTAACCTAATAAATCATCTACTAGTTTGTGGTGATATGAGCAGGTTTTGAGTTGCCTCTGTGCAAACAGCCGTGTTTGTTTTGCCTTCTTGCTCTTTGCCTGTCTGTGGAAAATCCCTCCAATGTTACAACTTCATGTGCAATTATCAATGACAGTACTTTTTATTTTCCAAACGGTGCTTACAATCTATTTACTTTGCAAACTACGTAAAGTATTAGATAATTTATTCATTTTATTGATCAGCTAACTGTGAATCATTATTTTTAACCATCAGACGTGAGTGCTTTACTGCAAAGCCTGATTACTGTAAAAATATTTCATATTTATACATTTGAACTTCTCATGCTACGCGAGGCCTTTGCTGAAAAGTCTTCCTCTTCTGTTTTTTGTTTGGGTTATTTTTTATAGATCTGAAGGAGTCATTTCAACAGCAGGTCTGGATCAGGGTGTGCCCAACAAAGACTGGGACACAGTGCATTTGGGATTAATGGTGAAAGGCTACAGGTCAGATGCTTTGCTTTTACACTCGCTCAATCTGTTATCGAGTGGTGCACATGCCCAAGCTGTCCTTCCGTGCAAAATTGGCGTAGCTTCCTCAATCCATATTGTAATCTACCAACTTCCTGTAACTTATTTCCTCAGTTTCCTTCACGTCTGCTCTTTACCGGGTTTATTCGCAGCACTTCGACACCCTGATCCACCGCCCCACAGTCAGACCATGCAAAGCAAATCGCTCACAATTCATTTGCGTTCCTGGACTGACAAATCTGACCCCCAAACACAGCTGTTTTCTTTTCTTCTAGTGCGTTTAGCTTTGGAACGTTATCTCTTGCTGTAAAATTCAGCCCACTTTAACCCAACGACACTCCCCAGTTCAAGCTTAGACAGGCCAGCTGTTTGCATGCCTACATACACAGGAGGAGGACCACCGGATCAAGCACTTGCAAGGGAAACTGACTCACCCTCTGACTCACACAAACTGTGAAGGATCATCTTCTAAGAGGTGGGGATCAAATAACCTCTCATTTACATCCTTCGTAAAAACTAATCGTGAACAAATCCTCACCTTCCCAGTGTTTCTCCAATTTCATAAAAATCCTCCACGTTCTCTTGCTTGAATACCGCCATGCCGGGCGTCCTCATTGATGTAGCTCCTTAATATGTAAAACAGATATGTAAAAGAGCCTCCTTGGAATGCTCCAGTAAAGCCAGTTGTTGTGCCTCCCCGGGAGTACTCTTCCTGCACACCACAAGTCCAACCCTGCAGACACAAAGATGAGTTGGTTTCTGAGCGCAGTGATGAAAATGTTTACTACAAGTTGCAGCTTGCTGTAAGGTATTCGTTTACTGAATTAGAGCTACTTTCACCTTGCTCTTGGGAAAGCCTTAACACCGTAACACAGCACAGAAAAAAGGGTCCTCTTTGTTCTTCACTAGTATTACAGGCTTTAAACTACAACTTGCACAACAGCGTCTGGGCAGCATAACAGTGTATAATGAGGATTACAAATGAAAAGAACATTTCTGGCTAATTAGGGCAGGGCATCTGTTGTGAAACATTATATCTGGTTAAAAAGGTTGAGAATGGCAGTTACACAGGCTTTGTAAATACCAGAACATGGCCATTGTGACAACTGTGAATAAGGATTTAGAGATAAAATGGTAACTGTGCAGCATGGGAGTGAACACGTATGTATACACAAATGTGAAGAGAGACAGAGAAAAAAAAAAAAGATGTTCACAAGCTGAAATACCACAAACTTCCTCTCTGGCAAGTTTCATGAGTTTTTCGCAAGTGTCTCAACAAAACTGGCTGCAGTTAAAAACACCGGGTCTTACCTTCAGTCAGCTGCAGAGCCGGTGATAAAGGTGCATCAGTGTCCACGTCTCCTACAGTTGGTCTCCTCGTCTCATAGCTGCAGCTGGGGTCAGAAAACAGCTCCTCCGGGGTGGATGGCTGCTGTTTTCTGTCACCGGTGGTATCACCATCAGGCTTTTGTGTGCGCGTAAAGTCCCTCCCTCTGATGGCTCTATTATGAAACTGCAGCGCGAGCGTGGCAGGCTGTCAGTAAAGATAGCTCGGATAACTGCTCGGTGCGTCCTAACAGACGTGTCTGAATGAGCATTTGAATTAGGAAATTCAGAAAAAACCTGCAGACAACACATTCAGCCAGCAAATAGTTTATTGAACTAATATTACAAACTTTTTTTTTTTGCATCATTAGGTGAAACAGGTTAACAATGAGCAAGATGAGAGATATGCATACAAAAAGGTGAAGTGCTGATATGATATTCGGAAGTCATACTACCAATAAAATTGTGCAATACCATTCTGGGAAAAGCAACACACAGAAAAAGAAACAGTAAAGGGAAAAAAGAGAAGACTTTTAAATGTAGCTTATTCTGTGAGGGGGGGAGGGGGGGGGGCACTAGCCTTAAAAGAGAAACTGAGTAAACATAAAATCTTACTGTATGAGCCTTCTGACAATGTGTGGACATTTATATATTAAAAAAAGCAAGTTTAACTGTAAACCAATCAAGATCTTTGTGAGAGACCTGCTCTCACAAAGGAAGAAATACAACTATATGCCTCTTTTTCATTTGTTTCCATTATCAAAAAAAAATTTGTTGTTGCTGTTGCCATTTGTTCATTGGATCAGGTGATCAGTGGGGATGGGAACAGCTGACAAAGCTGCAACTGACAGCAGATCTCTTGTTTCTGTAAACACCTCAAGGCAATCTAAAAGTAAAACTCGAGCAGGGTGTAAACAACACATCAGTGCACAAAATCCCATTCAAGGAGACTGAAAAGTTTCACTTAACAGCTGGATTGATAAAATATAAACAGCGTCTGAAGCTTGGAATATCAGCTTTCCTCCACGCTGCTGTACGAAACAGGAGATCCCAGTGAAGAGGAAACTTTGAAGTACCTGATTATGAAAATGGCAGAGATATTTGGCAATACGGTGAAAAGCTTCCCTCATATATTTAACATCATATTTCCATTTTTTTTCTTTTAATACAACAATCATCATGACTTTACAGCCACTTCAAGTGCAGTCAAACTGCGAGGAGGGTACCTGTGAGCCAAGCGTAAATACCAGGTAAACCAATGTCACACTGCCACACTGAGGACAACAAATGCAATTACAATCAGCATTTACACCAGCGGTTTGGGCTCAGAAAAATCTCAAATAAAAACAAATTGCGCACAAGGAAACTGGACCATTTAAACATGTAACACAAACACAGACAAACCAAGAGCATACAAAAACTGCGTAACCCACAACAGCGTGACTGGATTAACCGATCCTGCCAATACCAGATACTCAACTGATTAAATCCAGTGCAACTTTTTAGATATGTCTTTGTGAGAACGTGAACAGTTCCTAAACTACTTTCAACAACACGAATGGCAAAATCGATAGCCAATAAAAACCTCCCAGATAAAAATAAACTAATAATGCTTAAAAAAAAAAAACAGACAATACTGGCTCACGTTAGTTTGATGGCTTATAGAAAGTGCACTGCTGCTCAGCAAGTTCCAGATGCTCTTTCTAGAACTGATAATACCGTGAAAATGTGGCTTTTGACGCATCCCTTGAAGGAAACTTCAACTGAAAATGTTACATACACGCTTGAAGGCCTTAAGACTTAAGTTTCAGCAACGTTTTCATTTCAGCATAAGTGATTTGTGTGCACGCACGTCTCAGTGGCAATTTAGTGGAGGAAAAAATTGTGTGAGTGTAGAAGATGACAGCACAAATGAATGACACAATAATTCCATCAACACATTTAAAAGTCAGCTATAAAAAGGAAATGGATCGCAGCCATTTGTTTGAAAATACTGATTTGTGCTGCAGGTTGTTTTGGCCATTGCATGAACACGTAAGCGTACAGAAAACAGAGGATTTACAAGATTTAATTAAAAAAAGAAATGGCAGGAATACTGATAATACTGATAGGCCCTTTCGGGCTTGTGACATTTTGTTCTTTTGATGTGGTTGTTGCTAAAAACGTATAAAGTTGATAGTTCCAGCTCTGATGCAGAGACCAACTCCAACGATTAGGTGTGGGGAAAGCGCTCCGTTCATCACTGCAGAACAGCGGCGCTCTGCGGAGATGATCTCTTTGTCTCCGTGCTTTAGCCACTCGGCCTAGAAACGCGACAAGCCCGAGGTCAGTTTTCCTCCTCGTCGTCGCTGACAAAGCTCCTTCTATCCTGACTCGTCTCTCGCTCCCTGAGGAAGGTCTGTCGGATCGCTTCCAGCTCCGTCAGCTCGAGACGGACTTTCTCCAGGTGGAAGGCGCGCCGATTGTGGATTTGCCTCATGGGGAATGGGTTCATGTCCACAAAGGCAACGCTCATCAGCTTCCTGGAAGATTTTTTTTTTTTAGAAGAAAGAAAAACAACATAATCCTGTGAGCCTGGATTTTTTTTTTATGTCTTTGAAATTTAGTAAACCCACGCATCTTTCTCTCAGCATCAAGCATACACCTCTGGAGCTGATACATAAAACTTTATTAATAGGTAGGTTATTATTACAGCTCCATAAATGGCCACTTAAGGCTAGCTCCAAAACAGAGTCTCAATGACCAATAAAATGGCATTAAACAAGCATGCACAGTGCAATTTTAAATGTAAGGGCTGCTACCTATAGCAATCTATTTAACAACTGCATCTCAGCATGCCGCATTTAGTCCAAACCATGGCTGTGCTCAAGCACCGTCTCACAGAGCTGCTGCAACACCTGCAGTGTGAGAAATGAAGTTTGCACAGGCACAAAGCCGATACACTGTGGGTGATGTGATCGTACAATTTAGCTACAGTTCAGCGAGATCCGGGAAGCTGTTTCAAGGTGATGCAGATACTCTGCCCACAGAAACTTCATTCTTCCACAGGACTGGAAATATGAAAACAGTGCAGCTACCGTACCTTGAATCCAGGATTGTGCGTGTGAAGTATCTGAGATATTTGAAGATGGCCGTGGAGTCCTGCAACTTCAAAAACTCCTCTTCTTTGTACTTGAAGAGCGCAAGAGCAAAGCGGAATATGATCTGTGGAGAAAAATGGCGTAAAGTCCTGTGTGACTGTAGCATGAAAATATTTACTCGGGAACATCTGACCTTTCCTCTGTTCCCTAAGCAGGTCCTCCAAATGTAGTCTTAATCTGAGGTAGTTTTGTTTGACTGGGTTCATATCAGGTTTCTGTTAAGAGTTAGGCTCCACAGCTTTAGTGTTTTAACTTGTATCATTCAATCAACACACAATAGGGCACATTTTTGCTTTAACAAGTTTGCTAAAATGCTTCCCTTAAAAATTCTATAAGGGGATGCTATGTCAAAATCGGTTATTGCATGTGTTTTCTTTTTTTACCTTGGCCAAGGAAGTAATGTTTTTGCATGTCATTCAGCTGAAAAGTTTTGAAAAAATACAAAACTTTGTAGGGGTGTAGAGTGGGGTCGTGTTAACAATCCATTAAAATTTAACTTACGTACACAAAAAATAACAATTTATTAAACTAAAGAATTTTGGTTCCTTGGTGGCAATAAATAATTGGTTTAATAGCGTGCAATTGGATCCATCTGGCAAACATGCACGGTTGTGTGCCGGCACGTAGCTTGATAAGTGATCTCTCGTCACCGGTTAGTCATTAACTTTAAAACAGTTTCCTGCTGAGGCTAGAATTCAGCTTTATGAGAGCAGAATCAAGCCTCTTACCTTTGGTCCTTCAAACAGAAACGCATCCCAGATCTTGAAGAGGATGTCGCTCACCACGCTGTCCACAAACACCACCAGGAACCAGTTAAACGTAATGAGGGAAAAATCGACTTTGTGCTGCTCAAAGTGGGCGTGTAGCCGCGGTAGCTTCTCGCTCATCAGATCCTTGAACACACGCTGGTCAACCTGTACGAATCAAACCAGGGCTTGTGTTTTTATGGGGGCTTTATTTTTCTAAGGTGGTCAAATTTAGCAGACGGAAAGAAAAACAAAGACTGCTGATGTCTGCATTCCTGCTCTGTAAGTCATCAACAGCAGTCACGTGAATATGATATCACTGACACCAGGGAGGTTTGTCAAATCTAATAAATAAGCAGTACCTTGTCCCTTCTTGTCTCGTGGTACAATAAAATTCAACTGTTTTTTTGTTACCTGTGAGCCAAGGAGAGTCTTGGTGTAATAGTCTCTTGGCATGAAGACCTCCACAATAGCTATAAGGGTCCAAAAAGCATCCTCTTGATCTAAATAGAGCAAGGCAATTGCTGCCAGCCTGAAGAAATAACATGCAAGAAAAAGGTTAATGGTTACAAGCCAGAAAAAGAGAGACAGAAAGAAAGTAGATCAGCTCTAGTACCTGTTCAGTCCTTGACAGTAGCCGATATCTGGATTCCTCCATGAGAAAGCCAGCAGGACGTTCCTGAGTTTTTGGATGCCACCTGCACTCGGAGAGGCATAGTGCTTGTTGTTGGGCAAAGTACGCAGCAAGTCCAACTCGATCTGCTTCGAGGCCGGGTTGGGCTTCTCCCTTGCTACGTTTAATAAGGTGTCATAATAGTCTGGGGGCAAGTGGTCACGAAACTTCTTCACGTGGAAAGAAACACACCAGCGCCACAACTTGGAGCGGTGCCCATGTGGCACGCCGCAACGAATCAGGGCCTTTAGCTCAGGGGAGTGAACCAGGTCTCTGTTCATGGTGCTGGACAGAAAGTTCTCCCACTTGACCCCGACGGAAACCTCCTGATCCGTCATGGACAGCGACTTCAGCTCCAAGGCCCTCACCTTTGCGATCAGCTTCTCCTCCTCTTCCTCCTCCTCGGGGACAGTCTTGAAGCCGTACACGTCATACTCGCTAGGATTGCATCGAGACAGAGAGACAATCCATCAGTGATGCAGGTGAATTCCGAAAGCCGCTCAAAGCTGCAACAGTAACATGTTCACATCCTGGCTTCTGCATGTTTACATCACTGAGGGGTTTCCAGAATGTGTAAATACATTTTTGATGAGCCAAAAATGGCATGCCTGGGCTTGCAAAGAATTCAGAAACAGAAATACAGATTAGCAGAGCTCGTTCTCACAGTCAAAAAACATGCGTAGGGACTCTTAGTACAGTTTATTTTCTCTTTCAGTAAAAAAAACAACAACAACCAAAACAAAAAAAAAGCAGTGCGTCCTCTGATGAATTGGTATGGTGCTGGTTCTGGTAGAAATGCTAGAACTGCTCAACATTATTTAATAAAGATCCGCTACTTTTGACCCTCATATGATTGACAGTGGAATTTTTTTTACTAAGCCACAGCACTGAGTATGACACGTAGCTGTGCTAACAACACCTACATTTGGCCATTTATTTTCACATCTGCTATAAATGCCGGAAACCAGACGTGTGGGCTCTCGCAACCTCTTATCAAAACTCAAGATTTCTCTTTTTCCATCCCTAAAACTCTGATCTAGTAGCCGTTTTTTAAGTAATTTCTTTTCAAATCACCTCCAAAGCATCTGTTAACGAGGCTTTCGGCACATACCTGACAGTGTTTGGTTTGAAGATCGTGTGCTCCTGCTGGTCTGTGTTCTCGCCCTGCAGTGCATCTTCTAACAATCTGGAGATGACCTCCCGGGCTGGGCTCTGCTCTGAAGACGAACATACCGGGTTCTTCACCTCTTGAAGCAGAACCAAGTACTTACTCTCCACCTGACACAGCTTGGCCTCAAGCGCCGTACACTGTGGAAAAGAGGGCAAAATAAAGTCTCAGCTTTAAATTTAAATTAAGTTTTAGAAGCACCAGCTGAGCATCACACTGGACTTCCCCTAAAACTACTCAAACTTCCTGTTTCTATTAAGAGGACAATGCACCATTAAATATAAAACACAAGAGAGTACCTTTGCTTCTAAAGCCTTTTCTCGACTCTCTGCATTTCTGCGCAACACCGTCAGCTCCAGGATCTCTTTGTTCAGGAACTTGTTCTGGGATTTGTAGCCTTGAAGACTGTCCTGAAGGTGAATAATAAGACAGACGGGGTGTCAAGATGTTCAGGCAGAATTTCAAAAGCTACAGAAAAAA